AATATCCTTTTTTCGAACTTTATTTCCTACAATTTTTCGTTTGATTCGATATTTCACGATATGACTATTCATTTGGATCGATTTCAAATTTTTAAAAAAAACTTAAAATGTAATAATAATAAATTTTTTTTCCCCTATTCTTTTGTTTAAAAATTGATTAGGAGTTTATGAAATAAATGACAATGACTGAATATCGAGGATTAGTGAGAAGACATTTTTCGATAATTGGAGACTGTAGTGGAAGGTGAGCCTCGATTTCTTGAATAACTACGGGTGTGATTTTTTTCATCTCCACATTTATTGTTGCCTCGAAACATTTAGAAATTTATAAGAAAATTTTATATAACTAATATTTGACATAAATATTTGTTTCTAATACCTACGCTATTACGTATTCAACTATATCATGGCACGTGCATTGCATGTGCTTTTGGCTAGTACTTATAAATGAATAAGTATTTTTTTTAATAATTGGAATTAAAAAATAAACAATTACTTAATATAAAAAACTATTTACTTTAAGTAGAACTGATTGAAATTGTTTAAAGTTAGAGAAACACGCCACTCAAATATATTTCTTCTTGATTGAAATCGAATTGGACTTAAAAAGTATAAATCATCTCTCTCACTTCAATTATTCAGAACTTTTACAAATCATTTTATTTGTTATCAATTATAATCTCGTGTGTATTAAAGTCTTCAATATAATCTTCTCAACCCAATCTGCAGGGCCGATTTTATAACTATGCAACGATGAAATTATCCACATTTGTAATAGTTGAGTCTGTATTGCTGGCATGGGTGCCTACCAATATCTACAATCACCTTCTTTTCTTCAATGTAATCTTCTCGAACTTTCTTGCCTACCTTCAAGTCAAAAATAGGCGGGCCATCATAATCTCGCCTAAATCAATATTGCACAAATCTGGATTCAAGGGAGCAAGAATGTTATCATCACCATCGAAATCCTCCTCTACTTCGTCTCTACGATCGTCGGACCATCATAATTGAAAATCATACATCACTGCTGTCGACGGAGTTGTTCCATCTCTTATCAGTTGTTCTAACACCATCACTTGCAGACGAAGATGTGTCAACTCATCGCATTACATAAATACAACCTAATTGTTTAGCAATTGAAACATATTCAATTGCATCAATATTCAATAGTGATTTTTTCTTGATTTCCCTATTTAACGATACAAGAGTAATGAAATGAGTATGCATTGTTTCATGGTGAAAATAATTGTCTCATGTTGATCTTTTAGGTGATTTAGTTCCTTCAAACGAGCCTAGTTTTTAAATTAATAAGTAACATTTAGTCCATGTATGATTCAACTAAAGTCAAAACCAACCATTAATTTTAACGACTTAGTTTTTCAATCATACATTCTATCAATTTTTATCAAAAAATATTAAAATTTGGATTTTGTTTTTTAATAAATCAAACAGAGCTTAGAATCGCAACCAATTATAGAAAAAATTATTGCACATGCAAACATTCAGTCCTTTGGGGGAAAAAAATAATAAAAGAAGAAGAAGAAGCAGAGAATCATATTCTATTTAAAAGAGCCGTTTTTCTTGACAATAAAATACGGATGGCATCGAGCATGGCTTGGAATTGGAAAATTTGAATGATTCCTCTATTGTAATTGTAGTGACAAAAACAGCAAGATTAATCCTGACTTAAAGCGTAAGTTATTATTTGCATGACCAATACGAGATTAATGATACAAAAACACTCAGTCTGCGTTATGGGATTTCCTAATAATTTTTCAGGATTACGTGCAAGAAATTGAGGAGTTTGTTTAATTCCAAGTTGAGGAGAAAAAATCTATTTTCAATTATTATTTTGAAAATACTTCCTTCTCTCCTACCTTGTAGCCAATCTTCCACATCTAGTACCCATTCCCCCTTGTCCCACTTCCCCCGCTGTGGTGTTGCGAATTGCGATGCAGGAGGATGAACATGAGTGAGGAACAAGATAGTCGGTATTATTGGTCAATAATAAAAATCAATTTATTTTTTGATTTTAATATAATCACAATAGAATTAAAAAAAATAAAAAAGATGGACTTCATTTACTTTGACCAACAGTAGAGGGCTAGTTCAAATATTGCCCCAAGAAATGTAATGCAGATTATTCAATGGATGTTAGTATAGAATATAGATGATGCCGGTCATCCTTAAAACACATTAATTTAGTGTGTTAAATGAATTCTAAAACAAAAGGAATATCTACCTGTTTTTGTCGCATTTATAATACAGACAATCTCGTGGAAAGTGAGTACGTTATTTTTCACGAAAAATTGACTCTCCTTGTTGCACTATAAATATTTTCCTTGTTGCCAACTTAACTGGCATCTCACTCTTAACAGCCTTCTCTTTCTGTTAACCAACAAGTAATTCCATTAAAAATGGCCGTTCCAGAAATTGCCATGGGGATAAACTTACCCAGATCACCTTATATGCTAGCCACAAAATTCAAATTTGGGGGAAGAAACCAGGTTACTGCATATTCCTTTGTTTTTTCTTATCAATTTTGCTATTCTTGGCATGTGGGTTCTTGATATTTTTGTGGGTACTGTGTGTAAAAATGCAGATAGTTTGTATGCTAGTTTGAATAAGCTTGATAGACATGAATTTATGTTTCTTGATTAATTTCAGTTCTGCGCGAAAGCGTCTGCTTCTAGTTCAGATGATGGGAATGGGAGGATGGTAATAAGGAAAGAAAAAGAGGGTTGGAAGTTAGATTTTTCTGGCGAAACTTTGGCCACGCCTTTGCTAGATACAATCAATTTTCCCATTCATATGAAGAACTTGTCTTCAAAGGTATATTATATTGATTATCATCAAGCTCTTACTTATTATTATAATTTAATTCTGATGAACTGCTTATACTTTCTTGTTATTATCTCCTTTACGTATGTACTTGTTTTTATCAGGATCTTGAACAATTAGCTGCAGAACTTAGAGCGGAGATTGTATATGCAGTATCAAAAACAGGAGGGCATTTGAGTTCAAGCTTAGGAGTGGTGGAATTGACTGTTGCTCTGCACCATGTTTTTAATACTCCTGATGACAAAATTATTTGGGATGTTGGCCATCAGGTGAAGTAAATATCATTCTTTTTAACTAGAAAAATGAAATGTCATCAAGTAGATTCTATGTAAGAGCAGTTGTTTGATCGGTACGAGGATCTTTGTTTCTGTCAGTTTTTTAGTAAATTAGTAATAGGTTCTGAAATAGAGCAATGTAATTGCAGGCTTATGGGCATAAGATTCTGACTGGGAGGAGGTCTAAAATGCACACTATTCGGAAAACTTCTGGATTAGCTGGCTTTCCCAAAAGGGATGAGAGTGTGCATGATGCTTTTGGAGTAGGACATAGTTCAACAAGCATTTCTGCTGGACTTGGTATATTATTTTTCATGCTATAAATTTTTTTCCGCTCCCTGAATTGTGTAATTCGTGGAGACTTTTGAATTAGGATATAATAAATTGTTTAAATTTTATCATTGATAGGTATGGCGGTGGCAAGAGATCTATTAGGGAAGAATAACACTGTCGTTTCTGTGATTGGAGATGGAGCCATGACTGCAGGACAAGCATACGAGGCTATGAATAATGCTGGATTTCTTGATGCTAACCTTGTTGTTATACTAAATGACAACAAACAGGTTTCATTACCAACAGCTACACTTGATGGTCCAGCCACACCTGTTGGTGCCCTCAGTGGTACTTTAAGCAAACTCCAAGCCAACCCTAAATTCAGACAGCTTCGAGAGGCTGCAAAAGTAAATAAGCCTTCGTTAGTGTTTACAAATTCAAAATGTTAAATTCGTAGTTCTTATGGAAATTTCATGTCTTGACTCTTGACAGATTATCACAAAGCAAATTGGTCCTCAAGCACATGAAGTTGCAGCCAAGTTTGATGAATATGCAAGGGGAATGTTGAGCGCGTCTGGTTCTACATTCTTCGAGGAGCTTGGACTATATTACATTGGTCCAGTGGATGGTCATAATCTTAATGATTTAGTAACGATTTTCGAAAAAGTAAAAGAAATGCCAGCACCAGGGCCTGTCCTGATCCATATTGTAACAGAGAAAGGCAAAGGCTACCCGCCAGCTGAGGCAGCAGCTGATAGAATGCATGGTGAGTTAAGAACTCATATTCTAATAGAGGAATAATTAAACTGAGATTTTTCAGTATGATAAATGTATTCTTGTTTTTGCTTTTCTTCAGGGGTCGTCAAGTATGAACCGAAGACTGGAAAACAAAATAAAGCCAAATCCTCTACACTTACATATACTCAATACTTTGCGGAGTCCTTGGTAAAAGAAGCTGAAATGGATAACAGGATTGTGGCTATTCATGCTGCAATGGGTGGTGGTACCGGTTTAAATTATTTCCATAAAAAATTTCCAGACCGCTGTTTTGATGTGGGCATTGCTGAACAACATGCTGTCACATTTGCTGCTGGATTAGCCACTGAGGGTCTCAAGCCATTCTGTGCTATCTATTCGTCATTCTTGCAACGAGGATATGATCAGGTAAGACATCCCTGGCTTACGATATGGTTATTACTATAATGAGAAATTTGTTGTGTTAAGGATCAAAATCTAAATAATCTTCATGAATTTGAAGGTAGTGCATGATGTAGATCTTCAGAAGTTACCAGTCCGGTTTGCAATGGACCGAGCTGGTTTGGTGGGGGCTGATGGACCTACCCATTGTGGAGCATTTGATGTAGCGTACATGGCTTGTTTGCCCAACATGGTGGTGATGGCTCCATCCGATGAAGCAGAGCTTATGCACATGGTTGCAACAGCAGCAGCCATAGATGATAGACCAAGCTGCTTTAGGTTTCCCAGGGGAAATGGCGTAGGAGCAGTTCTTCCTTTAAACAACAAAGGAACTCCACTCGAGGTAAGCACTAGAATTTCTACTGTTAATCTCAAAACTAGTTCTACTATAGATCAAAGTTTTCCAAAGCTCAGGTAACATTGAAATCTCAGTTTCTGGATGGGTTTGAGTATAAGGTGAATTCCATTATCTAGTTTATGAGTGAACTGATTTCAATACAAACAGTTGGACTTCATGGTTAATTTGCATGTAAATT